AGTGAAGAACCACAAATTACAATTGTTAAGTTTGAAAATGATCTTAACCTTAACATTAGGGCTATGGTTGAACTCTTACCTTATAATGACTTAAATAAACTAGTTCAACTTTGTATTAGGGCATACCAATAATTAAAAAGATCTATCTATAGGAAGGACTACTTTACCACCTCTACTACTAAAGAAGGCTACAAGAGGGAGTAACACCTCTCCAAATCTATTGATGAATGGTCATGAGAAAAGGATATAGAAAAAGAAAAACAAAGAGAATAAAATATATAAAAATAAAGAATCATCAAAGGGGACTAAAACTAGAGACATTTAATGTTTTTGATGTCTTGGTGGAGAACACTATTTTTTGAGTGTTCTAATAGAAAAACGAAGTTTTTAAAGGATCAAGAAATTGTAATCTAGGATGAAGCTTACTTTTTACCTAGTGAAGAGGAAACTCTAGACTCTAAGGAAGAAATTCTACCTTGTGAAGGATAATTATTAATTGTGAGAAGCTTCTCGGAAGCTAATTATTTGAATTAGAACAATCATAACGAGAGAACTTATTTAACACCATATGTAAAGTTTTAAAATACATTTGTTCTTTTATTGTAGATAGTGACTCTTGTTGTAATTATTATAGTTCTAGGTTGGTAGACAAGTTAGTCTTAACTACTATGCTCCATCTTAAAATTCGTAAAACGCAATGATTCAATAATGAAGGTGGTATAATAGTTAATAAGCAAACACGTATACCTATTTCCATAGGAAATTATAAAGATAAAAATTTATGTAATATAGTTTTTATAATTGCTAGGCATATCCTACTTGGAAGGTCATGAAAATTTGACAAACAAACTATCCATGATGACATCACTAATAAAATAAGTTTCACTCACAAGGATAAAAAGGACATTTATAGAAGAAGTTATGGCAAAAAGAGTGGATGAAAATCAAATCAAAATATGAAATTAGAGAAACCAAGTTTCACACACTAGAATAGTCAAAATTAGCCTAAAAATTGTGTTGCACTTCAAAGAAACTTCAACCATGTACATTTTCAAGTCCCACATTGCATATTGCTTGTCTTGTTCTTTTAAAATATAAATGAGAGTAATGTTCTCCTAATTCTCCATCAAAGAACCTTCCTTAGTTTTATAATAATGTTATGTTAAAAAATAGTTAATTTTAAATTTCGATAACTAGGTTTATATAAAAACTCTCATGACCTATTCAAAGTAACCTATAATGAGAGAAAAATACAAATTTTAAAATATAATATAGTGAGAACATTAAAATATGGTAAAAATTTAAATCAAATTTTAGTTTTAGATACAATACTAATGAACAAAGACAAAACTAGATGGATATAAGATTGTCTTGATCCCTCAAAATTTTACTTTTTATTTATTTATTATAGTTCAATTTTAAAAATAATTATCCTTTAACACTAAATAAATTTTATTTATTTTTTTATTTTATTCATTAAATTGATCTCCTATTTAAAAATAAATAAATAATAATAATAAATATCATTATTTTATTTCCTAATACAATTCTTCACTTAAAATTTTTGTTTTCTCTCTACTTCCACACTTCTACCTTTTCTTCTCATCCTTTCCACTTCCCCACTTCATATTTTTCTCTTGCATGCTTATCCTTTTACTTTCACACTTTCCAATTTATCTCTCTCACCCTTCCACTTTCACATCTTTCACTCTCGCGATTTCATGCACAGGATAACAATTATAAGTTTTCTTTTTAATTTTTTTATATTTTTCTTTTTACGACCTTACCTTTATAGCATAAAAATTTTAAGTTTTTTTTCTTTCTTAGCTCTTTATCTTTTGTTTGTTTACATTGGAGGCATGGAATATTAGAAATCAAAAGAGAAGAATATTCATAAATAAAAGAGATACAAACAATATTTTTCTTGAAGTGAAAAAGGAAATTAAGATCTTTTTTTTCACTATTATAACATCTTAACATGTGTAGTATAAAAATATTAAATATTGATACAATTTTTTTTTATTTGCTATCAATTAGTTTTTTTTTTTAGGTTTTATTAATGTTGATATATATATATATATATATATAAAGTTTGAGATATAGAGATGTCTAAGAAGAAAATTATAAACTTACTTTTTAAGAGTTATTAAGTAACTTATAATGTGAACTATTAATCAACATATTCAACAAACTTCTTTCAAAATTATGATTGAACATTGAACAAATTTATATTAATAATTTAATACTCAATATTGTAAAGTTTTCACAATTTTGGGATTATCTTATTAATCAACAAGAGGTAAGCCATAAAACATATATAGGTTTGGACCATATTACTTTTCTATGGATGTGTATCCCCATTCATGTTTAAACAATCAATTTAGGAAGATTTAAAAATTGAAAAAAATGAATAACGAAGACGATTTTAATTTTTGTCTCATATTGGAAATCTCTTAATTCTCCTCGTAATATTGTTGTTAAATATTACGAAGATTTGAAGAACCATGTCAATCAATAAAGTGCTAGCTAAGCAAAATTCACAACAAATTTTAATTAATCAATTATGTCTTAAATTTTCTAGTGGTAAACAAAAAATTTGTTAAGAAACGTCTAATATATGTAATACATTTAAAAAATACTATTATAACCACTTTAAATAAGAAATTTGTTTTATATGGTCTCATCAAAATCTAAACATTGAAAAAGTTGATCAGGGAGACACGATGATGTTAGTAATATTTATGGAGAGTGGGATTGAAAATTTAATTCTTCAAAAATATCTTTTTATATATTGTATTCATTGTTTTTCTGGTCAATTACATGTTATACATTTTTCTTGCAAATACAATAATAAGTTACAAACTTGATTATGTAAATGAAATAAATCATTTAAAAAAAATAGAAAAAAATGAGACTAATGAAATTGTCACGTTTGAGATGACTAATGAAATTGTCAAACTTTGTCAAAAATTACAACAATAATATCAATATATTTTATTCTTAATTAACATAAAATATAATATTATGAATTTAATACGTTTAAAATTTAAAAAATTCTAAAAAATTGAATAATATTAATCAATTGTACTAAAAAATAATAGAAATAAAAATATTATGTTATATATATATTTATATTGTTGTTTTATAATTTTTAGTGATTATATATATATATATATATATAATTTTTATATAATAATTATTTTTAATTATTCATAATTTATAGTAATTATATATATATATATATATATATAGTTTTTACATAATAACTAATTTTAATGATTTATAATTTTTTAGTGATTATATATATATATATATATATATATATATTAATTTTAATATATATTATTTAATTTGGCATTTTCATAAAAAGAAAAAATTATTGATTCCTCCCATACTGGATGAAAAGAATCATATGAATAACCTAAAATGGGTGATATGATTAAAGACGATAACGCACGTGTCTTAGCTAAAAACACATCTTAAACGCATAACTTCTGTTAAAATGTTGTTTGTTGCAATGGTGGCCGAAAATCGTGTCAAAACTAAACATCTAATCCAATCCTCAACGTAGGAACATTTTCGTCTCTTTCATATTCATTGCACACATGTAAAACAACAACCAAAAAACAAAACATATTTTTTGACCATATTAAATATTAAAAAAAAAACCCTTGACCCAAAAATAAATATTGAATAACTTTCCACTTATACGAAGGAGATAACTTTTACATCAAAAAGATAATTTTTATGCAAGATAAATATTGAATATAAATTATATTTTAACTTTAATACCGTATATTACAATTTTAATGATCATATGTAAAATACTCAATCATATATTTAAATCATATGACCCACGTCCACCCATTATAACGAATAAATATGAAATATGTTTAAATTTGATAGCGCAATTTCTTTTGTTGGAAGAATATAAAAACACTTTAGCCTTAACATATTTTGAGAAATAAGGTTGGGCCTTTATAAGATTAATGTTGGGCTCTGTGTACGTTTCACGAGCCTTCTTCTGTCTCTTTGGTATTTTCTCACTCACCGTCCATGGCTCCTGCTATTGTATACAGATCTATATAGCCTAACCCCTTTTCACTTTATCTGCATGAAAATGAAAAGCTTGAACCAGTAATCGCTATTCTTCCATCGTTTCAATTATTGGGTATGTTGCAAAACCACACTTTGGCCTTCAATCTCAGTGCCTCCAATGCCACTTCTGGAATTTCATTTCCAGACCATGAAATTTCACTTGGTCTTTCAGTTCCCATGAGAATTTTGATTTCAGAATAGGTGGGTGGTTGTTACTGGGTACTGGGTAGAGCCCCTTTATGTGACAATATCATAGTTTAGTTGAGTTGGGTCTAGGAGTTTGTCTTGTTTCCTACACATGATTTTTGTTTACGAAATGGGAATAGGGTGCTGGTGAAAACCCAGATTTTTAGTTTTTTGGTTCTTCTCTTCTGTCTTATCAATTTGATGTCTTTTGTTCTATTTCTGCTAGTTTGATAGTGTGTGGGCATGGTGATAAGGTATATGTATTTGTTTTTAGTGAACGATTTGTTCTATGCAATTAGTTTTGCGGAAGTGAATCTCTTTATTGTTCTATGCTTCGTCCCTGAGTTAAAGAAATAAGCTATTATTTTCTGGAATTAATTGGTTCCCAAGTACACTGACATTTTAGCTTCAATCTAAATCTATTTTGTGGATTCTTTTTTGCATATCTCATTTGGCTCCATTTGTAATCAATTTGAATTTTTCATGTATAGTTATTGTTTATAACCAACTGAATCGAATTGTGTTATAGTCCTTTTTGTTGTCTCTTGCTTATTCATCTCCTTTTGACCCTTAATTATATGTGTATTGTTTATTAGGGTTTTATGATTTTTATTTGTAGGGAAACTTTTGGCTGCTGGAATCTCTATCGTTTTGACTCATTTCCAGTTCAACATTGGGAGATTTTAGTCTTTTGGAGTTAGTGAATTTGATCGAAGATGATTAGGAACTCTCCATTGCATGCGTCAACATTGCCGAGTGCTTTATCTTTGTCTCGGATTACTCTCCATGGAGGTTCTGTAAATTGTATGCCCTGCCTTCCATCTAGACCCCAGAGAAAAATCAACACCATAAGAGCCACATCAGCAGATGGAGGGCATATTGAACAATCGCCAGCTTCAGGATCAACTAATCCTCTTGCTGTTGTTTTGGATATTCCTCGTACCCTTTGGAGGCAAACGATGCGTCCATTAAGTGATTTTGGGTTTGGTGGTAGGAGCATATGGGAAGGTGGGGTAGGATTGTTTTTAGTTTCAGGTGCAGTTCTATTTGCCCTTAGTTTGGCCTGGTTGAAGGGTTTCCAAATGCGGTCCAAATTCAGGAAGTACACGGCAACATTTGAGTTTGATCAGGCTTGTGGAATATGCACTGGAACCCCTGTGAGGATTAGAGGGGTGACAGTTGGAGATGTCATTCGTGTGAATCCTTCCTTAAGAAGTATTGAAGCTATAGTTGAGGTGCCTCTTTATAACATTATCTTTGGGATGGATATGAAACCTTGTTGCACTTCCTGTACCCTAACATCCCAGTTCAAATATTGCTTAGCTTTGAACTTTGTTATTTTAGTTGGTATATATCAGTTTAACCTTTGGTTTCTATTTGTAGATTGAAGACGATAAAACAATCATACCGCGGAATTCATTGGTTGAAGTTAATCAATCAGGTCTTCTTATGGAAACTATAATTGATATTACTCCTCGTGATCCTATTCCAACGCCTTCAACTGGACCTCTTGACCAAGAATGTTCCAAAGAAGGACTCATTGTGTGTGATAAAGAAAAGATTAAGGGTAGAGAAGGAGTAAGTTTGGATAAATTGGTTGGGATTTTTACCCGCCTTGGGCAAGATGTAGAGAAAATTGGCATTGCTAATAGTTATTCGTTGGCTGAACGAGCTGCTTCTATTATTGAAGAAGCAAAACCACTTCTTACAAAGGTGTGATATAATTTTCTTATGTTAGTTTGTTTGATTTTGATGGTAAAATATCATCTGCAGTAGACTGCTGAATGAAGCAATTTTCTTGCCAATACAAAATGGATGGTTGCCCAACTCTGAGTCTGTTGTAGTATTAGAAACTAGAACAAGATTTTTTGCTAAGGCCTAATAGTTTTCTGTTTGAAAATCTTGATTTAGAAATTATTATATGCTCTTATGATATTGATGGTTAAACAACTTCCTCAAACACTTATTCGATGAGGTCATATCACATGAGTGCTTATGCCGAAGATTTAATCATGAAAACTTACACGAAAATAGAGGTTGTTTTGATAAGCTACACCAAGAAACTGATAGAAATAAGCCTAAAGGATCTTATGGAAGTGCTAAGTTAATTTCAACAAGTTAAAATAGGCTTTCCATTAGCCCTTTCAAATGCACCCTTAATGAAATAACTTATTCAAAGGTATGCTATTGAATTCTACAAATGCAATATCCATGTTCTTATAGATACTTTTATTTATTTATTTATTTAATATTTTGGGCCATTCTCGAAAAGCATAGTGGCAGCAATTGCGTCAAGTTTTTGGAAGCAAAAACAAACAAACTCTGAGGAACTTGTTGTGGACTATACTAATTGTTTTTGGCTTCATTATCATTTAAATAGTAATAAAGTAATGTCTTACGAGAAGGAAAATTTGGTGAATGATAACCAGAGTGATAATGAAATTATCTATGAACACTGGTGTCAGTTATATGCAACTATACCATATTTGTGGCTTTCAAGTTCTTTGTTTTTTGTAGGTATATGTATATATTTATGTTTATTTTTTATTTTAATAGCATACTATTCTATCATGGATTCTCATACTCATATTTTCCATTTGATGTAGTGATGTCACAGATCAAAGCCATGGCTGAAGATGTTCAACCTTTGTTGACTGAAGTACGTGATAGTAACCTGTTGAAGGAAGTTGAGAATTTAACCCGAAGCCTTACACAAGCATCTTATGATTTGAGGTTATTTTGTAAACCTCTATGCCATCTGTGATCTCTAATTTGCCGTTGCTTGCATGATATTAATATAGGGGACACCATTAAGCCTGTCAACATCTTAATATTGGGACAGATGCCCAGTGAGGAGATTTGCCAGCGAAGGTGACAACATGATGTGATCATAGTAGTTAATTGCGGAGCAACCACCTCCCAAAACCACTAAAGCAGCATAGCCGAAGTGGGATGACTGCTATTTTGATCCATATAATATATATATATATATATATATATATATATATATATATATATATATATATATATATATATATATATATATATATAAAGAAAAACACCTAAACATTAAGATATGTTCTGATTTAATTTAATAACCAAGAAGTTCAAACAACAAAGCTGCAATTAAACAATTAATAATCAAACCCAAAACAGAAAAAAAGCCAATCACCATGTCCCAAAACAGCTCCGCCAGAACTGCTGTTGGAATCACATTATAAGCAGGAGGCGCCTTGAGTGGTTGCCGGAAGTTGAGAGGGGAGTTGAAAGGTTTGATCATGGGTGGGTTGAGAGGGGAGTTGAAAGATTTGATCGTGGGTGGGATAGAGAATGAGAATGCCTATGTGAAATATAAAACTGAAACTTTTAGGCTTGCAATAGGGTTTTTACATTTTCTGCTTAATGAACACACTGTTCCTAATTCAAAAACATTTGTTTTGGGTTTTCTCTTCAACCCTTAGCTTTAGATAGCTATAGTACCACATGACAACTGCCAACACCCACAAAGTTTGAGCTTCCATCTCACTGTTGTGGTGGGTGGCTGCTCTATCGGGGCGCGAAGACAGCACCATCATGCTCTATCAACCACTAGGGATGTGATTGTAACTTATAACAGACTTTATTTAAATCTTTATCCCTAAAATTATGAGTGTTAAAGTGAGCCAATTTAGTTCATAACAAATTGCATTAAAAATGAGTTAGTTCAATCTGGTTCAACCTATCATGGTTTGTTGGGTTAAGTATGGTTATTAAACTCTGGGGTTAACACGTAAACCCTTCCGTGTTTACAAGTTTATTATTGGGCCATAAGTTAACTCATGTGCAGACTTGTTTTTAGGTAGACTCGAACAAACTTAGATGGACATGGTAGACTTGGTTCATACTCATGAGTTTGAGTCGAGTATAGATAAAATACTCAAAACAAAATGTATAGGGGCTGTTTGATTTAGTCTCGTAGTATTAGGGCTTGCACATTTGGTTTGGGAGTTTGGGTCTCACGATAACAAAGAGCATTTGTCATCATGTTCTGAGCTTGTTCCTATCTCTGTTCATAGTCGTTGTTGTTTGCAACTAGTCACCATTTGCACTCTAGCTTGTTGCTGTGTGCACTCGTAGCTCACTACCATTCGCAATTCCCTCCAACATCGTGCGCAGAGCTCCTTGTTCACAACTCACTGTCCACCACAGTTCTCAATGTTGCTATAAGCTTTTCATTCTTCATTCTTGCAGTTTTGTATCTTTTTTGGTTTTGTTCTCTGTTTTTGTCTGGTTCCCGCAATTTCTATGTAAAAATTTTGGCTAATAACTAAGTATATTGTCCTTTTTCTGGTTAGGTTCTCCCAGATTCTGTTTGGTATTCCTTGATATGTTGACTTAAAATAAAAATGCTACCTATAATAGGATATTAAAGAATGAAAAAAATTTGAAATGTAATTACTGTTAATAATATACAAATTAGATAATATTTGTGGCTTTTAATTATTTAATTGGTATTTTATCACTATTACGAACTTATATTTTAATGTATATAATATGAACTTTATTTTAGTATTGTAATGTTGGTATCAAGATATTTGTATTTCTTTTAATTAATAATTTTTAGCCTTTTTTTTCGCCTTTAATAGACTATTACGAGTTTGAGTCAAGTCCACAAATCTAGTTTACATGTCTCTCAAAGTTTAATAACCTTGGGTGGGTTGTCTCACTTAAAATATGTGGTTTATTTTTTAGTTATTTTTTATTTTTTTAAATTACTAAAATAGGTGAATTAAGTTGGTTGACATATTAAAATAAGTGGATTAATTCATCAAAGTATCTTTTCTTCATGAATTTACACTTACAGATGGATAGGAAAAATTATAATATTAAATATTGGAAAAAATGGGTTACATATCATCAACTCAAACCCATTTAACTCTTGGGTTAAGTGAGCTAAGTTCATTTTAATTTACAATTAAAAGTTTTCAATTTTTTTCAACTCAGTCTGACTCAAACCTTTGGAGAATAGGGATGGCTCACTGTTACAATTTATTGACACCTCTACCTAAATGTTGAAATTGCATGTGAAGTTCTCTTACACTGGCATTTGTTTGTGTGAAAGAAAGGAATATAGACAATGAAAAATTGTAATGAAGGAAATTATTAGGATACGAAAAGTTGAATAATGATTTGTAGAAAGATGAGCAAAGTAGATAGGGAATATTGTGAGTTTTCATAATGTGCGGGTTCTTTCTTCCTCGAGAAAGTGATAAATGGTAAAATGATATTTCTTTTGTTTCAAAAGCAACTTGAAATATAAGGATTATTTATTGGGATTTTTGTTTCAAATATGAAATGGATTCTGTTTGAGAGTTCTCTAAATATAATTTCAAACTGCTTGGGCCATTGTTTAACCTTGAAGATCAACGCTTAAGATAATTGAACTAAAATAATAAATGTATGTAATTTTTATTTTTTTTACGCTCACAAGATTCATTTCGTATGATGGTTAGTTTAAATCTTTTGTTGTATTCTAAATTCTAATTAATTGAAATCGTATAATTCTTTTGCAGAAGGGTAAATTCATCCATTATGACTCCTGAGAACACTGAACTGCTCCAAAAGTCCATATATACTCTTATTTTTACGCTGAAGAACATTGAGGTAAGACCCCCATTTTTAAATATCCTATAGTTGTAACTAGTTGATTGATTACTTTTGGTTTCTTATTGCAGAATGTTAGCTCGGATATTTTGGGTTTCACTGGTGATGAAGCTACAAGAAAGAATTTGAAATTACTTATCAAGTCCCTCAGCAGGTTATTGTGAGGTCAACATTACAATTAAACTCGAATATAATTCAATTAGGTTATTTCCAGTGTGTTTAACCTACCACAACATTGAAGGAGTAAATAGTATGTTGTGACTGTTTTTAGTTGTTGCTAAGGAGTGTCGTTACTTTGGTTTTCACATTCTACTGTGATAGAAATTTGTTTTTCCTGTTCTACAATGGGCTGCAGAGATGTTATTCATTGGGAAAGCTGATTGCTATCTGCACGTTCTTTGTTATTCATCTGTAACACGGAGGCGACTCTCAATGATTGTTTACTCACTCGTCACACTTCAGCTAAAATGCTTACAGCCTCTCATACTTAAATGAACTAGAAAATGGAAATAGCCTTTGGATAGGAAAATGTAAAGCTATGATCTCAAGTTGAGATGGATAGTCATTTGATATTTATGCAACCTTTGTTTTTATAACCGTTTTGAAAATCGGTCCCGGGGATCAGACTAGAAGTTTGATCTTCAAATAATCAGATTAATTAAACTAAGATAAAATTGGAAAAACTGGAAAAATTAGTTTGGTTTTTGGGTCGAATTATGATTAGAAAGTTAAATAAAATTAAGATATTTTTTTAATATAATTTTTTGATAAAAAATATAATATATATGTATATATATATATCTTATATTAATTATATTAATTTTAAATAATTGTTATTTTATTGTATTTTTATAATTATTTTATTTATATTTTTAATATATTTTATATTTATGATTTTTATTTTATGGTGATTATGACAATAATTTTTATTATTATTTAAAAGAAAATTGTTATTAATGAATTTAATATATTCTTGTTATATTATAGAAAAATTATTTTATTAAATTGATTTTGGTTTATCCTAAATTTATGACTTTATCGGTTTACGGCTTGTTTGATTTTAAAAACATTTGATTTTTTATAGGAAGGAATCAAATGTAGGTTCCATGAGGTTTATAACAACCCACCCACTGCTGAATTAACTGAGTTAAACTCCTTGGTGATATCTCACAAGTGATACTCAGTTATCAAATTGTCTTTTTTGTTAATACACAAGTTTATCAAGATGTTAGTGGGAGGTATAGGAATCTAGAAAGTTTTGAATTTTGGCTCCAATTTTTGCATATGGTCATTTTTTTGGGTAATAATATTCCATAGCAACACTACACTATAGCATAATACAATTGAGCAGAATTTTTTTTTATTTTTTTATTAGAGAACATGTTACGTACCTAGAAAATAAGTGTCGCGGGCTTAAAAATGGGATGTACTCGTGGACTTCATGGATTTTTTTGTTGTTGAATAGCCTAGTTTGTCATTTTTTAATTTTAAAGTTATTTGTAAGAGTTTTACAATTGGTAATATTTGAAGACTGGATTTTGGGAAAACGGTTGAGAGAGAAAGCCTTTAATATAAGTGTCTTTTGTCAAGATGTTGACAATTTACTAACAATTTCTTTTGGACAATTTTTTGTCTGACAAAATGACAAACAACATGGATGATTCTTTTATGAAACATCGGATAGAAGATAATATGAAGAACGAATTGATTATTGCAATACGACCAATATAATTTTTTTGTTGAATTTGATTAAATTTTGGATTGATCTACATTGATAGAAGGTCTTCATTATATTGTTGCTAGTAGATACTTGGATCTTGTCATTCTCTTTATATATATATATATATATATATATATATATATATATATATATATATATATATATATATATATATATATATATATATATATATATATATATATATATATATATATATATATATATAAAAGGTGTGTTCTTATTCAAAAGTGCAGATTTATAAGCTACATTGATTGTGTTGTAGATAATGACAAGAATGAATAATAAGTTGATAAGTCATGAGAAGCATTGGATGGAGATTTATGTTTAAATAATATTTTAATGTTGAAGTTAGTAAATAAAAATAAAATAAAATAAAAAACGTAATATAAATTATTAGAGAATAATAATTTGAATGAGACTCCTTCTTGTGGAGTTGAGATGTTATCCTAGGTCTTAAATTTATTTATTTTTAAAATAAACAATTGAATAATTATCATTCAAAGGAAATTGTTGTTATTAATATTATATATATATATATATATATATATATATATATATATATATATATATATATATATATATATAAAGATATTTGAACAGTTTAAATATTATGTTCCAGTTCAATTGATAACTAATTTATAAGATCTTCATATTATATTTTGAGTATAAATACAAGTACTTTATAAGTTCTCCAAATTTGAAATTTGAATATAATTTATTAATTTTGTATATAATTTATTTGTATCGACTCTTTCATCTATTTAAAAAATGGAGTTTTAATAAGTTTCACATGCAAAATTTGGCTAAAATTTTTATTTTTATCCAAATTTATAATAATGAACTAACATATTGTCCTTTATGAGTAATCATTTATAATGTTGTATTTAATGATAACGTAATTATTATATATGGTGGTTGATTTTCTATTCTTGGATAATATTATTAGTTGATTGCTTATGTTTAAGTAATGATATAAATGAGATTGAGTTGAAAATATGTGGAGTTGAGTTGGATATTAAATTAAGATAATATAGTGATTTGTCAATTATTTAAGGCACAAAATTGATTATTGCGTGAGACCAAGTTAGATATGATGTAGTACGAAGCCAAACAACTCTTATCCAGCTTGCTTTGTTCTCAAATAAGTTGGGTGCGATTGCATCCATATGAATGCAGTGCTGCCTTAATTGATAAATTGCTCAAGAACTTGATTATAAAGATGTGGTTATGCACACTAGCTAATAAATAAAATTACACTAGAGACATCAAATACTCGTTAGTGACATTCATAACATTTATAAATTAAATACAAGTAATAGAATAAATATTGAATAATATTGAATAATATAATAATTTAATAAAAATAATAATTCTTTTTGATGAGTGAGTTACGTAAACTCTTTATTTGACGGGTTGTTAATCTTATAAATGACAAGACACTTATCTCAAATTTACAAAACTGGTTCCATAAAATGAGGATTGTCCTCATCTATATAGTATAATTTATTTTATTTCTTCTAGTCGATGTAAGATTTTTCAATACACCTCTTCACATTGGAGAAGAATTTTTTATTACAGTCCCTCGTATCGAAGAAGATTTTTTTCATTACATTTTCTCGTATCGAAGAGAATTTTTTCATTACACTCCCATATATTAAAGATGAGTGGTTCAATATTGATCCGAGTAATTTAGTCATAACGATTAATAGTTAATATCTTAACATATCTATATTTGGCTCTCTACTATCTTAGAAATAATGAAACATTTAACTTAACTCTATAAAATCGATTTAGAAAGATAAAGATGTACTCATTTATATAATGTTAACATATTTCTTGTCCACACGAGATTTTTCAACAATTAGTTTAAATCTTTGTTTCCTTCAACTCATTGCTAGTGTTATGTTTAAGGTGATTCTTGCCTTGTGTCTCACTTATGACCAACTCGTTATCCCTAGAGTGCAAAATGCATTGTAGCTTCTTTAAAAGTTAGGAGGCTAAAAGAGCCTTTTAGCATTCATATCTTAGTGCCACTTGATTAAAACATAACATGGAAGCCGTAATGGTAAAAACTTGAGGCATGGATGCTTTCTACTATAAATGTTTGATAAAAGATCTCAAGAGTGTAGACTATTTTATTTGTGTGATGGGGAACATTTTAACTAGATCCTAGTGATTGATGTCGTACTCAATCAAATAATTAAAATAGATAAATATAGTACTAGGAAGTTTTCCTAGGTCGCCTCCCAAAGACCACGAATTCTTATCAAAGCTTGTCAATTTTTCGAATTAAAACAGAAATAAAAGAGGGATTTTTCATATTTAAAATATTAAATGAACAAAAATAAAAACAGATTATAAAGATGTGGATTAAAAACATATTAGAATGCAATTGAGTTCCTGATTCCAATGTAGTGTCATTTATCTTAGGTTACGAAATTAATTTGAAATTAACCAACTAAGCGAGATAAATTCCAAATTATATTCCAATTCAAAATTAATCAACTAAGCGAAAATTAATCCCAAATTAGCTTTAACCCTTATTCTAATATGAAATTAACCAACTAAGCGAATATTAACCCCAAATTATCCTTATACAATTAAGCATTGCATACATCACATAATCTCATCTCTAACACAAAATTAAGCCAATTTTGATATTAGTTTCGGTTTATTAAGCATAAACAGATTATAATTTAACAATGAGATTAAGAGATGAAGAGTTAAGAGAACAAACGAAATAGAAAAACAAAACCTCAAAGATATACTGCATTCTTCTTAGAAAATCAATATAAAGATTTAGCTATCCATGGAAAATCGAAAATGCAGAAGAAGAGACATAATTGAAATTGAAACAAGAATTTAAAATAATGACAGAAGAGTAAACAAACTTGAATACAAAATGTAGAAGAAAAAAATGGTGTTCGGAGGATGCGGCTGCGTGATGTGTGTCTCCATGATGTGCCTACTTCATCCTTTATATAAATAACCCTAATCCTAATCTTAATCTAGGTTTGGGCCCAACTGGTCCACAAAACACATCATAAGTTAGCTTTAGTGCAGGTCCGCGAACTTCAAACACGTGAAGTATTTTCAATACTTATCCAAATTAAACAATTCCAGTCTCCCTTGAAATCCTTTTGAGTTAGCTTTAAAAGGCCACTATATTTACTATTTTCGGAGGTCTAATGAATTCAGGAGACTTAAATTACTGAAGCATGTCCATCGGGCCAACTTGGTGCGCTTAACCCATTTTGGATAATTTATGTAAAATCCAATTTAGCTCCGAATTGGATAGTTCTAGATCCTCTGGAAAGCTGAATTTGTCTAGTTTATAACGCTTCTAAAATCATGATTTTTAGAGCTTTGTAGAAGAAATGATAAATAAAACAGTGAACCAATGTTAGTACCCATATAAAATAA